ATTAGAGATTAGATTCTTTTCACAGAAAAGGACAGATTTAATTGTAACACAGCTGCTGAGGGAGATGACATTTCTACAATCTTGAGCTGTGATCAGTGGTCAGCTCAGCAGTCTGTCTCCTGACAGAGGGACTGCATCTCATTCTGAGCTCCATGGAAGCCTGCTTTAATCAGTAATGTTTCCAGTAGCAGGGGGTATCCATATTTCAGAAGAATATGCAGTGTGTTTAGCTGAGGGTTACTCGAAAGATGTCCAAACTTCAGGAGATCAGAATTCTCAGACTTCGGAATGTTCACCTTGGTCTTTTCTTCACGGGAAACCAGGTATTTGTGGACCAGTAGGGGGCGCCTTTCCCTCTGGATCCAAATTTCCAGTACAATGCCCCTTTTTTAATTGCTGGGGACACTGTTCTGTCCTTCAGATGAAACATCACTCCAAGGGGCTCCTTTGAGACTGTTTGGTAGTTCCTCATTCCTCCCTCTGATTTGCTGTGCTGTCCAGGCTGCTGGTGCAGAATGGCTGCTGTGTGTCTCCCAGGTCCACAGGTGGGTCCACTGCTATATGCAAAGTGCTTTAGGGTCCTTTGTGTTAAAACAAAACATTATGCAAAAATAAACAATTACTCAAGACATGCCCCCCTCTTTCACACTGCTGTACTTGCTGTGTGGTGAGGTCAACGCTTTCTTGCACAAGAGGGGTCTCTGTTTGCATTTGTGACATCCGAAACATCAGTCAGGAGGCATTTAAGTTTCAGGTTGTTTCCAAAAATGGAAGAGAGAAATTCACGAACGCCAAAAGAGAACAGGGCTACAGAATACCACTGTCAGGGGCCCCTCGAGAAGCTTGTAATGAAAGTACTTACATGGTGTCTTCGTTCTCCTTCTCTGAGAGAGAGATTTGGTGGCTGCGGGCAGCAGGCACAGCCATTGAAAGGAGAGTTCCTGTGAGGTAGACACGATAAGCGGCGCTCAGACCCGGCAGCGCTCTGTCTTAGTGAAATGCGATTATTGTTCGGATGCGGCGCGTTTTCTGATTGCCTTGGGCACCTGGACTGACCTAATTGAGAACACACAGAAAGCCAGCTCGCTGTCTTGCTTCCTCAATCCTTTGCGTTCTTGGAGCGCACATGCGCGCAGTTCTGTCTGCTGTTTGTTGTTTTCAGATTTGGACAATTCTGCACCACTGCCCATAGTCCCTTCTAAAAATTAAACCTAGCATGGATCCCCCAGTTGCTATTTATGATTTAAGGCTTGGAGATGCTTGGTTTTCAAATAAAACATTTTCAGGTCTCCAAGAGTGATATGCTATTCACACTGCAAGTTGTGCCTCTTTTGGTGATTTGTAAGCCTGATTTTCTCCATTTCATTATTCCTAGAGGAATGGGGTTAAGGTGCTAGGTTACAGTGCAGAAATACAATTTAGAGATTTGTTTCCAGTTGGACTATCCTCTAATTTGTAACATTCAAAACAAATTGCCTAATGTATCTTTTTACGTCTTGAAAATGCCAAGCCATTGAAGTAGCCTTCTATTTTAAATTCCTCTGTCCGTGGAAGAATTACATTTTAATCTCTCCTAATGACAGCTCCCTGAGCTCATTTAACTTTGCTGTGGGGGACATTGTACTGTAATTGGGTCAGTTAAGCCCCAGTAACTTGAAGGGAATAAGGCTGAAGAAGGGAGACCACACAGATCCCTGCCTTCAGTGACCAGTGATGTCTGTAGGTCTGCTAGGCAGTGACAGGCCGCAAAGGAAGAGAACTGTGAGCAAGGCCCCCAGGAAAGACAATTCCAGAGTTCAATTGGCTGCAGACTTGCGGGCTGACGAGCCCATAATAATTTGTCAACATTAATACAACTGCGGCCTCTCGGTTAGCAATAAAAAAGGATCTTTGATTTTTGTTTTGGTCTGAGCATCCATGTTCTTAATGATCTAAGTAAACCTTCAGTATCAAAGCCATTGTGTATAAATACTGAAATACGTTCGAAGGCAAAGAAATGCTTGCTTTCATTAATAAATTGCCCTTCAGTCTTCTACGTTATGTTCAAATATTTAATAGAAAGTTATCTCTGAATGGAGATAACCTTTGAGTCGGTAATGCAATGCATACATGTGAGATAGATCTCTGGGCCTTGAAAGCAGAAAGCTACCATTTATCCCTGTGTGAGAGGAGAATTTTAATATCTCAAATAAACAGGTCTTGAGGACAAACCTCAGAATGTTTATCCAACATGTTGTTAATTTGCAACTGTAGAAGGAATACAAAAGCCCGATCTCTTCAAACGAGAAAATAAGAAGGCTTGAGAGAGGCAGCCCGTTTTTCTCTTCCTCAAAGGGCTGCTTTTCCAATAAATCCTGAGACGTGGGCGTTTTGCTTCCTAAATTTAAATGGGCACGCCGATCTCCCCAGGACTCTGAGGCTAGCGCTGACTTTAATCTGTCATAACAAGATGGATTAATGGCTGCAGATCTGCGTTGCGAACGAGGCTTTTCAGAGCCAAAAGAGCTCCGCGCTCTGCCAGCACTCAAATACCGGGCTCCATGAGCGATTGCAGTGCGGGAAGGGAGCAGCTTTGCTCACACTGTCATCTGTGTTTAATTGAAATGAAGGGGCACTCTTTCAACATTCAGAGGGTAAATAAAGCCATGCGTGTTGTATACACGCAATTGTAATGGTGTGTTCCGATGCTATCTCCTTGGTGTGGTTTCTTGGCAAGCTGTGTCGAAACTGCATAACCAGCCATACTTTGTCACCTGCTGCTTGTTTAAAAAGAGTCAATCTGTCAAGTTGCACTGAGAGTCAAAACGTTTTTTTTTGGGGGGACGCGTTCATCCAAGAGAAATATATAAAGAAAAGAAGCCTTGCCCTAAATATGCCCTTCATTCCTGCATTTCTGTGTTCACTCATTGTGTTTCCAAGCTGTGCCAAGATGACCTCTTTCGATTTGTAGAACACACTGGCGAGAAGCTGTGAATATTCTAGACCTACCAGTAAAACGTAATTTGATCTTCGTGAATCTCTTTATAAAAGATTAAGGTAACCAGATTAAATGTATAACACAAAGACATTAAACATGTTTGTATTACTTAATCAACGGAATAATCCACCAGTTAATGTGCTTGTATGAAGAAGTATGTGAACGCTGAGATTCAGCAACTGGTGGCACCTCCTTGATCAGCAGTGACATAAGTTGGACGTTTCCTGTAATAAGTTTCTTGCATTTGCTTTTAGAAATCTAGCCCCATTCTTCTTAAAGGACTGTGCCGAAGCAGTGACATTTTAGCATGAAAAGCTCACTTCAGATCTTATTGTAACTTTTCAATGGGTTCCTGGTAGAGTCAGCTTGAATGTTTTTTTCTGTGGGTAGACTGACATTGGATGGATGGGGCCCCAGATGTTATGAAATGGGTTTGTAACCCTCTCCAGACTGGTTTTCTTAAATCCCCGTTGATCACAGAAGCTGTCAGTATGGTGAAGACCAAAGAGACCAAACTTTTCCGACCTTTATATACAGTAGGACAGAGCCGCTCAAACACAGTCCTTGTTTACTTGTAACCGTCTGATTCTTATTACCCTTTTAATCCTGTTAAGTAAGCCAGGAGTTCACTTACTGCTTCACATAAACTGATTCTTTATTATTTTTTTCCTTCATATTCCATTGTGTCAGAGTAAACTGGCAAATATATGCCCTTTTTGTTTCCAGTCAAGAAAAGACTGCTTTTGATTAAACAAGGGGACTATTGTGAGAAAGTGTAGAGGTACAGTAGTTCCCCTCATTATTTTGGGGGGCTTCACAGCCTGTCTCAGCACTGTACATTATTGCACCCACGTGGAGAGTGATGTAGTGTTCTCCTGTGTGTTTTGCCTTTGTACCCGGGATCATGGCGTGTAATAAGAACCAGTAATACCAGAGTAACTGGCAACCAGAAGGTTCCCCCTGTGACAATAATGTTGGCTGCCTGGCGCTGGTTGTAACGAATCCAGAATGATGAGGTATGGGGATCCTATGCAGACGCAGGAGAGGGTCGATATCGAGACAGGCGTGTAATCCGAAACGTCAGGCGAGATGGTGGTGGAAAGGAAAAAGGTACAGTAGTTCGAAAGCCGGAAGATACGGAGACAGGCGTACAATCCAAAACAGCAGGCGAGGTTCAAGGTGGAGGGGCAAAAGGGAAGTTCAGAAACCGGGAGAAGTATCGCAAGCGAGGTACAAACAAGGCGGGGTAGAGCTCTCTAGGAGACGACTCAATACCGAGCAGCGGGAAGCGGGTCTGGATGGTTTAAATAGCGCTGCCTGCCGCACGGTAGAGCGTGTGCCGGTGAATTAACACTGCGGCGGCGCTTGTTATTATCAACCCGCTGCTGGCGCTGGTGAGTGGTTTTGTGGGTTGATCTCTGCTGGCTGGCGGTCGTGACACTGGTGCTCACCTGTGTGTCTTCCGCAGGTGCCTGGGATCCAACTACACACACGTTTCTAACTCTGAATTATGGTGTTTGCTGTGAATGCCTGCAGTGCTCTGCTGTCTGCCCCACAGACTCTCCATCCGTGTGTCTATTTGTGTAGGTTGCCATCAGGCAATCAGCTGAGAGAGCCACTGACCGCTATGGATATAGAGTATAGCACAGGAATGTCTCACTGTTAAATCGAAATCAAATGAAAACTTTTTCATGTCTTTTCCAGAGGAAGCGCAGATTAACTGAATTAAGCGTATTTTGTAAGACAGCTGCAGTGCGCTTTGGGTTTCGACAGCCATACCGGTGTTGGAAACTGTGCTTGCGTTTGATTTGTGGTTAAAACCCATCGCTTTATCAGTGACTCATGATGACTTAAACATAATCTTTCAAGCTGTCTGATTTGTCAACATTTGTCAACAACATTTGTGTTGATCTACTTTGTCTTCTGTAAAGAATTGTATGTGCTGTACCCGTATTTCAGCTCTGTCAGCAAAATTGTTGTTGCTGGGAAGGTCTGGACTGAATATTGTTTTTTCTTTCCTCAGACATTTCAACAGTCTTCACTGCATCAGAAGTCCAAAAAGAAGAACAAAGGTGCGTACACGGGTGTTAACATACAAAATTCAAAAACATCAAAATCATTCTTGACATGAATTCCAGCTCTTCCTTGTCAATGAAGCAGATAACCAGTGTGACAGGGGATGGGGCAGCGATATTTAGCACAACAAAACTGTTTGCATTTGAACGCTAAACGTTTTGTGTTTGATTAACAAGCTTGTGCTTGGGCTACAGAGATTAGTGTTCTATCTTTGTAGGAGACAGGTTGCGCGTTTATGGTCACAGCATTATGGAGCACTCACTCCTACCTAACAAAGGGTGGCTGATAAAAATGAGTAAGCCATCTGAGAGCGATTCGTTTCCTTCTGACACCAGCCCGCTTATTAGCATGCTCACCCATGGGTCTCTTGACATGAGGCCCTTCCTGGGAGAACTGCTTGCAATCACGCAGTATTCCGACTCCGGCTTTCCCACATGCACATGGGACGAGGGTGCGGAGAGGACGTGTGAGCGCGGGGAGCAGGGCCGCAGGGAGCCGGTGGGCAGATGAAAGAGGGCGGGCGTGCCGTGAGCCCAGGGAAGATGACTGGGGAGATGAAAGGGCTGAGGGCAGCACCACAGGGACGGAGGAGGAGCCCTGTGCCCTTTCAGGGAGGATCTGGACCGGGGCGGAAGCAGCCGTCGGGAAGGGAGCCAGCAACGTCGTGCCTTTCTTGCAGGGGCCGCGGCGGCGATGAGCAAGCGGAGGATTTCCTGCAAGGACCTGGGCCGCGGGGACTGCGAGGGGTGGCTGTGGAAGAAGAAGGACGCCAAGAGCTACTTCTCTCAGAAGTGGAAGAAGTACTGGTTTGTGCTGAAGGACGCTTCCCTCTACTGGTACATGAACGAAGAAGTAAGTGTCTGCCTCTGCTGGCTGGAACTGCTGGTTTGTTTTCCTGCGGCCCAGAGGGGCCGCGTCGGCTTGGTCCTGTACCAGAGGCTCAGCTGTGACCTGGCCACCTGCTCAATGAATCCACAGTCCGCCCGTGTGGGCGATGTGGTCTCTCACTCTGCATGCAGGCTTGTAAAATTTTAGCAGGGCGGGCACAGAGCACACAACACTACCCGTGTACACAGTTGAGGCTCTGCCGAGCATGTTAGTCGTGTTACGTAGTGATTAGATTGCTTCATTTCGCCATTACAGAGCCCCCTGCTTAACATTGCATGGAAATACAAATAGTGCAACGGCCTTGCCTGTTGGATGTTGTATGCAGCAGGTTTTGTATTAGTCTTGGAGGCTCCAAAGAGATGACAAGCAGCCTTTGGCCTACAGGCTACATGAGGCACATAAAGGGGCCACAGGTTAGATACATTGGTTTGACTCATGTCAGAAAATGTTTATCCATAAGATGTAGGAGAAATGAAATGAAGCTCATAGTTTTGCAGTTTCTTGTTAATGTGTTTTTGGAGGTGGCAGCATGCTGTTGATCTTGTGTGTGCTTTGAGACCATGGCTTAGGTCATCAAGCTGGGTGCATTTTGTAGCTGCATTTGCTACAAAAAACTTATGCATGAAATTCCAGGGATAATTAATGATGACAACAGCACTCAGCTATTTATGATTCCTAATTGCTGCAAAAGCTGGTCTATAAAAAACCATTAAAGTGCAGCAATAATCACTTTCTCTGAAGTCCCTGCTCTCATTAACACAGTGGCTTCAGTTTTCAGATTAGCTTTTATTTATGTGTTGAAATTCCAGCAGGGCTTTGGGTCTTCTCAGGAAAATATTCGTGCTGATTGGGAGCTTAAGCTTTTAATGCAGTATGGAGGGACTTTCTGTTGAAGCTCCTGCTCAAAAGAGATGGCTTCTCCCCACAGGACGAGAAGGCGGAGGGGTTTATCAGTCTTCCCGAGTTCAAGATCGACAGGGCCAATGAATGCCGCAAGAAATAGTAAGTGGCCTCTGCCTGCGTTCTGGGCTTTAGCTTATTCAACAGCAAAGACAAATTCTCCCTGGTGTTCAGAAAAAAAAATCCATTACACTTTCCGCCGTAATTCCATTACACACGGATGCATCTCTACAGAAAGAAAACTATCATCGTTTTTAAACAAAGCACTGATTGCCTGGCAAATGATATTTCACACGGTGTGTCCTTTACCATACAGTACGTCTCTGCTGCAGCCCCCAGTGTTGGAATTCCCACTAAAATCCCGTCCTTCCTCAGTTTTTGCCATACGATGATTTGCATTTTGTCTGTTCAGGGGGGGGGGGGTGGTGTCTGTGTCTCCCTTCAGCTGTCTTTTCTTCGTGATGCGTGGGGCAGCGCTGGGGTTTGTAAAAATGTTTCTGTCCACGTGATTTGATACAGGAAAGATGGAGCTAATAGGCGGAGTTCAGCTCAGAGCGTCTGTCTCTTCGGAATCCGTTCCTGTCATTCAATGTCGATGGCCGGCCCTTGTAACTGTTCTCCTGTAGCTCCTGTAGCTCCACACAGCTGATAGGGAGGCTTATACAATTGCTGAGTTTCCTGGCTCTCATGGAGTCTGTCAAGTCATGTGTGAAATTACATTCCTGAGTTCAGGGTATCTAATGCGGCAGCAGTGGTAACAGATAATAAGACATTTACTTCAGCTTGCTTGCCTTCTTTTGTTTCTACATACAGTGTCTTTGCCACATTGTAGGCGAGGATGTTGGGGATTGAATGTCCTCTTGCTTTGTTGTAGTGCGTTCAAGGCCTGCCACCCAAAGATTAAAAGTTTCTACTTTGCTGCTGATGGCGTGGATGACATGAACAGGTGAGTGAGAAAAGACAGAACCATCTCTCTTTTCCCCCTCTTTTTTGTTTTTGATAAACTAGCTTGTCTCATTTCCTGGTCCTGAAGACACTGGTGTTCGGTTCTCAGTTAAGGTCTCGATGATGTGAAATTACAGTGTACTCACTAGAGAGGGCACTGTGAGCTGAGTACGAAGGTCACATCTCTAGCAGAAGCGCATTTAACACCTGTTTGGATCAGGTTTTTTTCTGTTTTTGTACCTATTAATATCAAGAAGCATCTCTGGGAATATAATATTTTCAAAACTGTGTCTGCTCAGATCATCCTCCTTCAAATGCCTGCTCTCTGAGGAAAGAGACACTCAGTCCAGGATACTGTATAAAGGGGCCTGAGACTCTTCCTACAAATGCAGCTCTGAGTGCATTTGTAAAAGGGCATTTATGTTCTCCCCCTGTCCTTCTACAACCATAGTCTGGGCTCGAACCTCTGCTGACCTCCTCTGCAGCGTCACGATTCCACATTTTCTCACTGTGGCCTGGTGTTAGTGATCACGCAGCCTTCAGAAGGTGGGGGAAGGCCAGCCTGAGGGAAGTCAGAAAACCGCTGTCACAGAAACACTCCAGTGTGAGGCTCCACGCATGAGCCATCCTCTCTGCTGGCAGCTTTTAATTACGAAACATAGAAGACCAAGCAGGCAATCTGAATCTGTTTGTTACCTGGTGGTTCTCCTCTCGCATTCCTGGTGTTTTCGATTGAACAGGACCTTTTCATTTTATTTCTTTCCAGTCCAGATTTGTGTACACTCTGTACCATGACATATGAGGCTCATGCTTTCAGAAGGCTGTCCGTGTTCGTCATTGTGCCTCAGTCATGTGAGATCTCAAGGCCCTGGGCTAACTCTGGCCAACAGAGATGAGAGTCAGTAAAGCCCGGGCTGCCTTTGTCTGATGAGCATCAATAGCTCTGGTGGTCTAAATCGCACCCCCAGAGCTCCCTCTTCCCCAGCTGAATGACACAAACACCTGCCGCGTAGTACAGACAAAATAGATCCGTTCCGTTTTCCATGTTTCCCATTTCCTCTGCTTTCCGTGTGTTTTCAAAAGACCCGAGTGCAGAAACTCCGATGTTCCTGGAGTTTTTCGAGAGCTCAGTAAAGCGCGCGGAGCACGACAGCAGCATTTTAATGCATAACTTAATTCTGTCTGCATTGAATCAATATGTAAATGCCTCCACCTTTAGGAGTGTGATTTCTGAAGCCTCTCTACCCTTTTGTAAATCAGCACTTTTTGGCGAATAAATGTGATTCACCGTGTAGTGGCCAGGGATACAGGCATGCTGTGTGGTAGTAATGATGTAAATCTCAATCCAGTGTCGACTGCTTTGCCCGGCATGAGGCTTTTTAAGAGCTTTCTGTTGACGTCTCTCCTCCTCTTCTCCCTTAGGTGGCTCAGCAGACTCAACATGGCCACAGCGGGGTACGCAGAGCGAGAGAGGATAAAACAAGACCAAGGTAAAGCGGCCTCCCAAGCAGGGAGAACGTGCTGGAGGGTAATGTCAGACATAGCAGAGAAGGTGCTGATCGGGGGCTTTGATCGCAGACTCCTCCACCCCAAAACGAGGTGAAAGACGAAAAGACGAATTCCTAATGCAAGATATTGTATAGAGCTAATAAAGTGATGTTATGTGATGATGTTATGATGGATCTTTTTGCGAACAGTAAAATGGCAGCTGTTTTAAGCCTGCAAGGGTGTGCTTTTTCTGGAAGAGCCGCATGAACCTGTTCTCCAGGCATGGGCAGGTGTCGGGCAAGCGTGTCCGAGCGCCACAGCCGACATCCTGTCCTGGGGCTCCACGTGAGCTGCAGTAGACTTTTAAAGTACGGCAATGCAAAGCCCTCTTTCCCTAAAGTGTACGTTGGTTCTTATCTCTGCGTGTGATTTCGTAGAATGTAGGTTAAGGAGGGACGACCAGTTAAGCAGGAGTCATGGTTTGTTGAGTATTGCCCTGAGCTGAAGGTTGTGGGAAGATGATTACCAGTCCTTTCCTATTGCAGCCTCACACTAAGGCACATTGGTATTTTCAGTCATGTCTCTCTCTGAGGTCTGTGAGAGGCAGGAGGCCATTTTACATGCTGAGCATCTTTGCATCTGCAGCATGTTCCCATAAATGTATAAAAATCTGATTAGATAAGCTGCAGAGGCCTCAGGTCATTTTACCTGTCAGAGCCTCTGAAAGCAAATTTGTTAGCTTCTTTCTTTGTTTTTCCTTGCCAAAAGACAAGCCACATTGCAGAAGACCAAAGGAAATGATGTCAAGGTCCCGAAGTAAACGTATGAATCACATTGTCGATGTTTTTCCTGGAGCTCCTTTACCAGGTTGAATGTGTTTGACGGTGGCTACCGCCAGCGTTTTTACAGGCGCTGGAGCTGTCCAGAAGTAAAAGCCACTAAGAGCCCAGCTCTTCCACTCACCCTGAGCAAGTTACAGAACAAATAACTGAAGCAAACAAGACAAGCAGGTTGTGCTCTCTCCTTCATGGGATATGATGTCGAGGTCCTGTTGTGGGTCACTCTGCACCAGCACAACTCTAGGACAGGGGTGGACAGCTCCATTCCTTGTATCTGGGATTTTTCTCCACTTACTTTGTGCTCTTAAAGACTCAGTCAAGGTTGTCATTTGCATAACTCCAGCGATCTAACACTTTTCAAAGGCCTGTCAAAGGTTGATGATTCAAGGAGACTTGGACATCCTGGACTGGAATTTTGCTCCTGTGATGTAGGGGTTTAAGCATATGATCAGTGTTTGGTATGTGATCAGATTCCCGTTCCAGCAACATGGTACCACCCCGTGTCCTGCATAAGGGGTTTCCACGGATCTTGATCCTGTTTCCCTGTACTCCCTCTGCTGCCCCTGCTGGTTGGTGTTGGTACTGCAGTGAGTCACCTGCTGTTCTGTTGCATTCAGATTACTGGAGCGAGAGTGAGCACGAGGACAATGACACACCTTCCACTCCGAAACAGGACAGCCCGCCTCCCCCCTACGACACCTACCCCCGGCCCCCCTCGGTGAGTGCCCCCCTCTCCTGCCACTCTGGTTCAGCCCCTGTCAGGAAGTAGGCGCTGATGATGAACAGAGCAACATTTAAGTTTTAAAACCGAACCGCTGTCCATCCTTTGCTGGACAGTATTAATCCAGGGCCATGTAGCCTGTTTTAGATCAGCTCCAGCATTTCATTTCAATCAATTATAACTTTTTCAGAGCCACTTTAAAAATGAGTCTAAAAAAGTTACTGTTGCATGATTACCTTGACTGGAAAAAAAAAAGCGATTATTCACAAAGCTCTTAGTTTATTACAAAAATGAAATAACCTTGACCCCTTTAGTACTGTCTTGTTCATATCATCCAAATCTTTTATTTTTAAATGCTTTGTAAAACGTCCTGCGATTCATTTTTAACATTCCTTTATGAGTGACCAGTTTCTCTTCCTGATTCCATGTACATTAGAAACAGTTTTTAATTTACACGAGTAAATGACATGAGTTCGAGGGGAGAGCAAGCCCCAGATCTCAATCTCCCTCCTTCTCTAGGGTGTAAAAATACTGCCACAGTTTTTAATTTACACGAGTAAATGACATGAGTTCGAGGGGAGAGCAAGCCCCAGATCTCAATAATCTCCCTCCTTCTCCAGGGTGTAAAAATACTGCCAAAAACTCAAAAACAAAAAGATGCCATTGTTTATACACACAGTATTTGCCTCTCAGAATTTAACAAGCACCACGGACACTTCTAATGTATTCCTTGCGAATGAGACCCTCCAGTGTATTAGCTGTCTGTGGCGAAGCAAGCCTGGCTTGCATGGCCTTGTGAGGCAGTGTGACATTAGGGGAAGTGACAAGGAGCACCACTTCAAAGGGGAAACTGGAGTTCAGATTGAATTGCACGAATACTGAATTCACAATGGGAATCTGGACAGTTTAAAACCAGGGGCAAGTCGCCGTTTCAGTCCTGCGCAGATGAGATCAGGCTGCAGGGGGGGCAGTACTGGGGGTTCTGTGGGTCCTCCTTCCTTGTGCTCCCCCTGCTGGTCGGTGGCGGTACTGCAGCCCGCGAGGCCGCGCTAGCGCCTTGTGTGTCTGTACCCGCTCCAGATGAACTGCGCCAGCCCCTACCTGGAGCCCAAGCACGGCCGCCTGTCCTCCACCGAGACCTCGCAGTCGCACTCCTCCCACGAGGAGTTCCGGCACGACCACACGGACCGGAGCAGCACGGACTCGCCCGTGCGGAAGTCTGCCAGCCAGCGGCGCTCCTGGCAGGACCTGATCGAGACGCCGCTCACCAGCTCGGGGCTGCACTTCCTGCAGACCCTGCCGCTGGAGGACTCCGTGTTCTGCGAGCCGGGCGGCGGCGGCGGCGGCGGCGGCGGGGGGGCTGTGTCCCCCGAGCACAGGCGCCAGTCCACCCTGCCCGCCCAGCGCAGCCTCCTGCACGACCACTACGGCCCCTTCCCCGTGGCCGAGGGGGAGAGGCTGAGGGAGCTGGGGGCCGGCGGCGGGAAGCCGCGGAGCTTCACGCTGCCCCGCGATGGAGGGCTGAGCCACGGCGGCCTGACCCCCTCGGTCAGCGCCTCTGAGCACCGGGAGCTGCCAGAGCACGACAGCGGGAAAGCCCAGGACAAGGTGTCAGGTGAGTGGGCCTGGTCCTCAGGCTGGGGCTCTCTGAGAG